TTATACCCAGAAATAATTACACGGAAACCGTATTCTTTCAAACACTGCCTGGCCCGGCTAGGTCCAGTTTCTTATTGGCTAGCTCTTACATATTGTTCTAACCCATTTCTAATATTCTGTGTAGCCCATGAGTTGGCTTACCAGAGAGGATCTTAACCTGCGTCTGTCTGGAGTGGGAGCATCATGGCGACTCCTCACTCAGCTTCTTTTTCCCAGCATTCTCCTCTGTCTACTCCGCCTACCTAATTTTCTGTCCTATGAGAGCCGAGGCAGTTTCTTTATTATTAACCAATGAAATCAACAGATAAGATACAAGACCCACCTCCATCAATACTTGTGATATAATTGGTTTTACAGCTCAGTATAATAGGAATAACATAGATTTCTACTCCATTTGTTGTTATTTTCCTTTGAGAAAGTAAGACCAAATTTATTAGCTTAAAAAAAAAAAGACTTCATGTAGTTCAGTTTGTAGAATGCTTGTCCATTATTCATGAGGCCTTGGTTCAGATCCCGCCATTGCATATTACATGATGGCTCAAGCCTGTAAATTCTAGCACTTAGAAGGTGGAGACAGGAAAATCAAGAGTTCAGGGCCAATCCTTAGCTACCTAGTGAGACTTTGTCTCAATGAAAGGACAAGGAAAGAAATAAAGGAAGATCCAGATAAGAACAGCGAGCACAAGTCAGCCACTCTGGACCTGTTACTTCTTTGCTGTGTGTCATCTCTGCTCATGGTACCTAATTAACAGATCCACAGTCAGGAAGATACTATTCTCTTTCCCACAGCTGAGTTCTGAAGCCTCTTCTTCAATATCAGCTTTTTCCAGGGCAGATCCTCTGTATCGGTGCCCTTATCCCAGCTTGGGCATTGATGCCTCTCGCTGTTGAGTCTTCTGTCATACAAGCAGAGTTTGGAATTTCTATATCAGGGTCATGCATTCACCCCACAGGTGCCTTATAGATGCAGTGTAGAAGCAGCAGTGTTTGCAGTGCACAGAGGGCTCTTGTTTAGAAGCTGCTTTCCTATTTCCCAGCCTTGTGGTAGCACAGATGTTTCCCAATTTGCCCATGGAGAACCTGAGAGCCTTTCTAAGAACAACAGCCATCATTTAATTTTAGAGTTGGAAAGGCTTTGCGTACCATGCTGGCCTCACGTCCCAGAAGACAAGCTAGCTGCTGAGAAAAGTTAAGGGACTCGCCTCAGGCCACATGCCCCACGTTGGCTATGGCCCTTAGAAGCCACATTCCATGTTGAAGTCCCATTTTAAGTCAGAAGCTGACCCACAGTAAGGCCCTGTCTCTGTTGTGTACCACATCGTCCGGCACACTGGGAGGAAAGGAAATGGGTCCCTTTAGTACAAAGGGTTTGCACGACCCGAAAGTGAATAATTTTCCTGTTTAGTATTGTGAATAACTTCTCGGTAGCTGCAGTGATGCAGTAGCTGCAGTTTATAAACGCTGGGGAAAAGATGTGCACCAAGTTGAGCAGGTGGGGAGAAGCGAGGAAGCGTGTTCAGTGTGAGATGTCTGGGTTACTACCAAAACTAATGTGATGGGGTCAGATCTTTTTGAAAAATATCTATCTGACTCAGTATTATTTAATATGCTTGTAAAATACGGTAAGGATTACTTTTTAGAGAAAATGAAATGGAGGAAAGAAAATCCATACAGTAGAAATCCCAGCATTTTTCTTTTTACCACATAAAATGCCTTGGCCAGACTAGGGTGACAGGGGCACTCAGTGTTTCTGTTTGGTTCACTGTTGGCTGCCAACAGCTTGCAGAGCAGCCTGGTGTTTTGTGTGACTCTGATCTAGTGGCTCAGAACATGGGGAAGAAACCAGCTGTTGTGGGAGGACCTAACCAGAGCATATCAGTTGAAGGGGGAATGGGAGGCAAACCAAGGCCCCATCAGGGTTAGCTGCTAAAGAAGCTCATGTTCTTCTCGGGGGTGTGAGGAAGAATTTCCTGTGACTCCAGCAACTGGAGGGAACTACTTAAAGATCTTACGCTGACGAATGCCATGAGGGGTGGCACTCAAGGGCACTACTAGTAAATTTGCCTGTTTATAAGCTCTGTGCACCTCTGAAAAGGCTGTGCTTTGTGTTAACTCTTGTGTCATGGTTTTTTTTTTTTTTTCATTTTCTTGTTTATGTCATTCGAAGAGCAGAAATAGACTGTTTTCTGTATTGTTACTGTGGCAGATGTTAGGCATTCTCAGCTTGGATACTTTGTTTTGAGGTCAGCCAGCTCCCTGCTCTCCTGTCTACTACACTGTCTCTCAGAAAATGTCTCATTATGATTTTTTTTTAAATATTGTTTTGTTTTTGAGCATTTTCAAAGCAAGATGAGCATGAGGGCTGAGGAAAGAGGGGTTTACATGAAAAATATTAGCAGAATGTTTAGGAAACTTTGGGGAACTAAAAATTACAGTGTATCTTCCATAGACTTGTTGCTCCTGCCTGCTGTTTGCCATTTGAATTCTTTGTCTGGGACTGAATAGCAATGCTCAACTGTAGCCAGATTGTTCATCCTGGGCCACCTGGGCCTGGAATTTGCCTAAAACCTAAGTTACCATCAGAGTGCACAGAAGTCCTTACTGTATGACAACACTGTCGAAGTAATTGATACAAGTTGTTTTACTTATTGTCAGAGCAATAAAATAAACAGCATGTGTCATTATTTTGGAGACGCAGTGCAGGCCCTGAGGTCACTCCGTTTCTTAATGACCAGTGTAGCCACCCCTAGGGAATGTGTCTCAGTGATAGAGTGTTTGACCAGCATTCATGAGGCCCAGGTTTCAACCTCTGGTAGTGATACCCACACACAGAGCTAATCTGAAATGGAGTTTGAATGGGAACGTAGCAACCTTGAAGCAAAGCCAGGGTTTTCCTTTATTAAGTTAGTTCTGCCTGAGATGGAAAGATTCTCAGTGTCTATATAGTCTTCTGAGGATTATTCATCTTATATGTGCAGTTATTTTATCCTAAAGATGAGAAATGTGGAAGAGAAACAGCGAGCCAAGAAATCGCCAAAACAAAAGAGAAACCAACCAACCACAGGAAGAGCCATGGGAGAAAATCTCTTTGCAGAATGAGGCACCCATGAAAGTTCAGCGGCTTGACAGGAATAAGCCCACCCCACATCTCCAGTTCACTGCAGTCTGCTAGGAGTGAGACGCCTGCAGTGATGCAGACAGACTAGAGCTTTACCCTTATAAATGCCAAGACCACTACATGGAAGGTGATAACCCAAAGGGTTCTGACATTTGAGTATGCCTCAGAACCGCCTGAACTTGAACTTGTAAATGCCCCTAATTTGCATTTCTATCAAATCCCACGTGGATTAAAGCAATTTTGAGAAGTTCTTTCTGAATTGTTAGTGCTGGTTAACAGAATGTGCTACAGGAGAGTTCTCTCTCTCTCTCTCTCTCTCTCTCTCTCTCTCTCTCTCTCTCTCTCCCACACACCCACACACACACACACACACACACACACACAGATCAACAGCAGCTGTCTTCTATTATTCTTTACCTTTTTTTTTTTTTTTTTTTGAGGCAGGGTCTTTCACTGAGCCATGAGCTCTTGGATTTGGCTAGACTGGCTGGCCAGCAAGCCCCCCGAGGATCGTCCTGTTTCCTCAACTTAGTGGTGGGATGACACCTCCATGCTTGGTTTGTTCCTAGGTGCTGGGAATACAAACTCAGAGTTCCTCCTATTTGTTCACTTTACCGACTGAGCTATCTTTCCATCCCTAGAAATTTTCTTCTACCCAGGTAAAAGCAAGGGAGGGTAATTTAAATGATATGCAGAGAGGAAATGGGCTGGATGATAAGATAGAAATGGAGGGCACTTTACAGGGACGAAGGAAGAAGGCGAAGGATGAGGCCGCCGTGGAAGGAGTGAGGGATGAGCAATCCAGGCAGGTAATGGGATCTAAGGCTGGGGGAGAAAAGGGTCTGAGCATTAGCCACAGAGGAAGCCGACCTGAGTTAGGTAGAGCTGCAGGCGTGGTGTGGGATGGTGTTGGGAAAATACAGGAGCAAGCTCGAAGGGCGTGATGGAAAGCAAATAGAGCTCCAAGGCTGGAATGCTACGTCTTGCTTTGTTGTTTTTGTTGTTTTGTTTTTAGTAAGACTGTTTTGGCAGCTACGTGTAGGTTGAATGGGAGAGGGATAGGAAGTGTGGGAATATGAAGACCAGACAGGAGACTGTAGTAGGAGTCCAGAGGGACTGAGGAAGGAGGAGGGTGTGTGTTCAGACGGTAGAGGTAAGGCGGAGAAACATAAAGAGGTGAGCCAAAAGAATGCATCTGCCTTGTATCCAGTGTTTTATCACGGCAGTGAATGCTCGTAATAAAAGCCCATGAAAGGTTAAATTACACTTTATATGTGTTGTTTTAAAGGAGATGAGTGCAGAGAACAGTTTGGAAAAACATTCATCATCAAAACTTAACTTGTGTCATTGCCTTCTCCTCTGTTGCCTGCAGGCAAACCTTCAGCTATCTGGAAAGCTCAGCTGGCCAGGACAACTTGTTCTCTGAGCTCTCTGGTTTAGCTATATTGGGGAGTATAATCTGTGTGTGTGTGTCATTGCTTAATTGTTGGCATGTAGTGACTCAACTGGTAATTTAAATTAATAGACTGAGCGTATAGGCATACTATTGTTCTTCTTAGATCTCGATGGCGCTTTGATTGGCAGTTAAGTGATGGTGTATTCGAATTAATTACTGCAGCTGAGAAAGAGCTGGGAAAACACACTAGGAAAAAAAATAGATAGTTGTGATGTAGGAGGGAGAGGAAAAGATTCGGTGTGAGAGTGAGCCTAGAATAAATTATCCAGAGCTGAAAGGCGGGAGCAGATGCCAAGTAGGGCTCTGTCTGTTTGCAGCACGGAGGTGTGGTCAGCTCTTAGTCCCAGTGGTTCGCTGATGTTGGAACTAGCTCCCATGATCAGTGTGTCCTTTGTAAGTAAAGCAGCCACCTAGTGGGTCCCCCCTTCCTGTTTCTTGGGATTCTGGCCCAGTCAGTTCCACCTCAGGCGGTCTCTTTCTTACATGTTTACACACATCCTCTTTAAACTGTGTGTTTCTTTTTCCTTTGCTCTTTTAAATCTTGCCCAGTTTACCTCAGGAAATTCTTTTTTTTTCTTTGTTCTATTCTAGAGCCAAAATAAGGTGTGTGTGTGTGTGTGTGTGTGTGTGTGTGTGTGTGTGTGTGGCGGGGGGGGGGGGGGATCCTAGTCTGGTTAATATACATGAGGTTCAGGCTGGGATAATCATATTGACAAATGATCCTATTACCAAATCCTGTGGCTGTTGTAT